ACGCCTCCTAGTTTAGTGTCAGATATGGAGATAATAGTACTTCCCTACCTCACAGGGGTGTTGTAAGGACAATACATTACAGATACTGAGGTGCTCAGATACTATATAGTGACCTATATAAATGCAAGACACTCTTCTAGCAACAACTGTATTTAAATACTGGTATGGTTCTGATCCCAATATGGACTGCACCTGAACTACTCTTTCTCCACCCCTCTGCCGGGCTGGTGTTTGAGTAGGTGAAAAGAATGTTCTCAGAATACCCAGGCTACGAAAACAAAGCCCTCTTGGTTTTCTAGTTCATTTACGAGGCTCTGTCCAACCAAAATAACACACAGTAGGAAAGTTTATGACCATGTTCTCTTTATGCTGTTAAACAATCTGTAAACTCCAAACAATATTGTAAAGGGGACACATAAGCAGGCCAGCTCCTATCCCTATAGCTTCCTGTGCTGGACTCTGGTCAGCAAACCTCTCTCTTCCTCTCATGAAGAAAGCCTATCCCCTTTTTATGGTCTGAGCCGCACTAGACTCAGATACACCTGGCTGCCTCTTGTCAGAGAACCTCTCCCAGTGGGGACTCAACCAAAAATACCCCACACTACTGATTGGCTCAGCAAGGCTTCCTCCTAGGCATGGGTGGCAGGTTAACCAGCTGTTGGGGAAGGCTAGCCCCCCAGTCCCTCCCCTTTTGCCCTCCTCTTCCACCCCACCTTCCCCAGCGGAGCCCAGAGCTCCCCAACTGTGACCACCAGCCCCCCTGCCCCAGCGCTCCCTGCCCTAGAGCACTGGATAGGCGGCATGGCCGTAGTGCCCCCAGCCCTAGGAGCGCCGGGTGGGCACCAGCCCCAGCCTCCCCGAGTCCCAGAGAGAAGCTGTCCCGCCCCAGCCTGGGCCATGAAAGAGCAGGAACTCTGGAAGCAGGCACTCCTGGGGGCAGAACATGGACGGGGCCATGACAGACTGTTTGGGGAGGCTCAGCCTCCCCCGGCCTATGATACCCGCTGCCCATACTCCTAGGGGCACTACTTAGCCAAGTGGTGATAGGGCTGCAGGACTTCCTGTATGAAATGATCCATCCCACTACCACTGCCAGTTATTCTCTACTTCTTCTGACAGGCTACAGAGGCATTGTTTGGAGAGCGAGCTAGAATCTGAGACTTCTCCTAAAGCTGAGCAGATGGACTCTGGATCACTTTCTTATTTGCACTTCTGTAATGTCAATACAAGCTGCACTTGTTCCCTGCAGAAATGTTAGGGTCAGTCAGATTAATTTAATTTCAAATTTGTCCTCACATTGAGCCAAAAATAATTTAGCTAGGCACCCTAGTAAGAAGGAAAACAGGTTGTAACGATTTGTACAGGTAGATCTGCCAGCCTTCTCGTGTGCATCCGGAGTGCGAATCTTAGGATCAAATTTTCAAAGGGGACATAACCTGGCATCTGATATTGTGCCTGAATATTTTGCACATAGCATTTAATGTTTACCCCAACAAGCGTTTGAGTGTGAAAAAGCCACAGGCATCAGACTGGCTATTCACGTTCCACTTGCGCATTGCTTAAACTGATAAATAGACTTGCCCTCTTCAATATGTTGAATATGCATTTGTGCTCGTTCCAGGAATAGGTCCCCTCCCAGGCCTATTATTTTGCTCTCATTTAGATGTGTACCAAGTTTTACACTGAGCAACATTTGTTGATAACATTCCAATTTTGCATCTTTTTAAAAAAATCTAGTTTGTGGTGTACATGGTACTTGAAGTGGCATGGGGGTGAGATGGGAAATCATAGCAATTTACAGCAGAAGTGATGCCTGAAATCAGCACCCCTGGAAACATAGCAACCTGTATGATAGGATGCTGTGGTTTTTGAGGAGACAGAGGCTGTTACACTTGGATTTTTTTCTTTTCTCCTTCATTCTATTCTCAGGCCATAGTCACACCCTCCCACTGGCTCTCTACTTTAGAGGTGCATTCTGACCCTTGGATGGAGATAAATTATCACTATCTACTAGTGGCTGAAGAGATAAAGCCAGAAAATATAATAAGGCAAAGAAATAACGAAGTTTGAGAGAACCTGGCATATGTCCCAACACAATCAAGAAAAGGACAGAGAAGAAGTCTCTGACATTGTTTCCTTTGCGTCAAGCAACACAACAACCAAGGCTAGCAAAACTGTAAGCAAAACTGAAAAACTATGTTCTTGTATCATTCTGTCTGTAAGTGAAGAAAGGAGCACTTGCATTTTACAAGTTATGTGAGTCAGAGGCTGGGCCGTGGCTGTACATACAGTGCTGCTCAGATTGTGTCTGTGCACATGGGTGGTGGAAAGCTCACTTTTGCATTCCCCCGATCCCACTGCTGCTCTGTGCAGGGCCAGACTGTGTCGAGTTAGAATAGCCTGAGGTTATCAGGCTATCTTGGGGGTTAATCTATTTGCATCAGCGCCATAGTTATGAGGGCTATGGGCAGTAAAGCATAACATTAGTCTTATGCATGGAATGAAGAAGGTGTCCACTTTCCCCTGCTGTTTGAACCTTGTATGTGCTGTAGTAGATGATTCACAATGAAAACAAACAAGTTCTCCTTTGAGCCACAATACCTCAGAGAGCAGCCGCTGTTTTCCCACTGAAGTAACCTATAGTCCAGTGCTCCTGGATGCTGTGAATTCCTGTTGAGTGAACACCCCTCTGCTGTGAGCACCACACACATCACCAGGTGGAAAGAGAGTGAGCCAGGTCTGCTTCCCCACTGACCCCTCAGGAATCAGTACATGGTGTCCATTCTCCCTGTGGTTAACCACTTCTGTTGCCAGCTAATGTAGTTAGGCCTGCGTCAGTGCTGAAGATTTCAGGCCCAAACTAGAACGAGGTGGAGAACGGGATGTCCATTTTGTGGAAGATTTTAATATTTTGGTTTCATTCAGTTGCACAATAAAAAAACAAAAATTGTCATTCTCCATGAAAATGAATAGAGCCCCAACTCTGGGGCTGTCCACCTGGCAGGATGCCCCTCAGCTTCAGATCTGGGAAGCCCTAGGCTCCCCAACTCCAAGGCAGACTGCCTGGTGGGATGCCCAGAGCCGTTGATCCTGGAAACTCTTGGCTCTTTTGAAGGGTTCTATAAAATAGAAAAATATATTTCCAAGAAGGGCATCCATGAAATAAATCAAAATTTAATAAGATGTGTTGACTATTAGAAAGCATGCTTTCACCATTGTCTGCTATTGTGCTGGCAACCACTGACACTGAATCACAGGGATAATATGTTCCAAAACTTATTTTGCAATAATAGTTTGGGATTCAGTTGCTTGTTTTATTGTACCAAGCGGCTTAACATAAAAGCACTTTTAATAACTTCATTTATTCCATTTGTTTATATAAATAACACACACAACCTTTTTATGCAAAGAACAATTTAAGTAATGTTTCATGATGCAAAATAATGCCATATGTGTCCTTTCCAAAACCCCGTTATTCAGTTTGTTCACTTGCCTCTTTCATGTTGACAATGCTTCTTTTCCTTTTAATATAATTTTAAAAGGGTTTCCAAGGCTGCTTAAAGTTGGGGGTCTTGGGATCCAATAAAACCTGTCAGTTTTCCCTTTGGCATCATAGTTTTCGTATCTTTCAACAATGTGAAACCTGTCACCGACAGCTCTTGATCATGTTTTCCACTGAAAGGAACCCTGGGCTTGGCAATTAATACCAGACTTGTCAATGCAAGTTAAGGTGCTGTTTTATCTTTATTTCATCAGTATTTAACAAACGGAATGTATATTCCAATGAGAAGTCATTTTAGTCAGTGCAGTCACAGACCATATATGCACATTCTGATCTCAGAAGGCCAGAATTATTATTATTTATTATTATTGTTTTATTATTATTTACATTTCCATACCAGGGGATAAAATCATTCTTGGTGTAACTCCTTCGAATTCAGTGGAATTAGATCAGGGTGAATTTGGCCAAAAGTGTCTTTACAATGCCTGCACGATCTCACATTAAGATAGAAATACATTGTGCAGCAAGAGCCATACCAATGCACTGGCGGCTTGGTCTTGCAGCCTCTTTTCATGTGATTGGTATCATGAAATTCAATGAGGCCACGCTGCATGATCTTTATTTGAATGTTCTCACATGTTTTTAAGATGACCAATTAAAAGTGCATTTATTTCAATGTATAATCACTTAAACCCAGAGGCTTTTATCTTAGATGTGTGTAGTATATACATTTGCTTATATCTAGAGCTTCACATCCTGGAGTTCTATTTTAAAGCATTAGTAGAAAGTCACAGGGGGTGAAATTCATCCCTGTGCAGAAGGTCAGCCCAAGACCTATACACCCCTTATTTCCTCGAAATAGGTGTAAATGCGACTTGGAGGATACTTGGCTGTACACAACCGCTCCAGAGGGGTACATTTAATCCATATTGTATATGCACAGAATGCAGTTTTTAAATACTTAGCTCTGAACAAAATTGAACATGAGGACCATGGAAAAACTGACAATTTTTGAAAACAATTATTTTTGAGCTCTGAGATAAAAACATTTCTAAATCTAATGTAGAAACTATATCATTTGGTCATGTTTGGATAACTCAGAAATGATCAGATGAAATGTTACTGCACTTTTCTGAAACTGTCACTTTTATGGAGGACAAATAAAAGGAATTTCAGTCCTAAAGAAAATGTTTATAGAAAGTTATTGTAAGCTTGTATTCAGGTATTTATAAAAGTGCTATTTGTACCATACTGTCATTACTTTAATTCTATAAGAGGGTAAGTTTCTGGAGTGTATGCAGTTGTGTATCCAAAATATATGCTAGTTGGGTACAATGACTTGCCTGCAGTTTCTTTTGAAAATGTGGCCCATTATTTTTAGTCAAAGATTGACATAAATTAATGGTTGGAACAATCTTAAAATACAGCACCACCTTCCTTTCAAGACTCTTTTTTTAATTTGCTTTTTCCAAAAGATGGATTTTAATACAACTCTTAAGAGTATTCATTCCTGCATTTTAAAATATCAGATCTGACCAACCTGATGCTCAGGTTGCCACTTCTGAGAGTTTTCTTTCTGGGACAAATTAATCCATTGAGAGGTGGCCTTGTGTCATCATGAATCGTCATATTGCATCAGAACATTGTTTTGTAGTGATAATGTTCCCAAGTTGAGAATATTTTTGCAAGCTCTGGAAGGGTTTTCAAGTCTTGGGGAAATGGAATCACCCTGCTAAACATATGAGAAACAATCCTAGCCCTGGAAGGAGCTTCTGAGAAGCTCCAAAGTGACTTAGAATCCTAAGTTCCATTCTTAAAAGCCTATGTCTCATTAAAAATCAGTGGGACTTACACTCCTAAATCACTCAGCTGGGTTTTGAAAAAATTTTCCCCGGTCTAATTTGGAAGAAGTTTCTTCTGGATCACAGGGAATAGTAAAGACAAGAGTCAGACAAACTTCCAGGGGGGAAAGAACCTCAGAATTTAAGAATTTGATCTTATAAATTTGTGCCACATACAAAAAAGTCTATGGATGTTTTGTAATCCAAACAATTAAAAGCATCCTCAAGTAAGTATCAAGTTTGTTATGAACGTTAAAGCAGTTGTAGACTTTTGAGTATAAATAGAAACACTTGCATTTGAACTCTTGTTCACTACCATTCCAAACCAATTAACAGCTGCAATGAAAGTAAAGGAGTAAATGACCAACCCAGATTAACAATGACTCCTCTACACTAAATAAGCTCAGTAAATTTTGGGGGTCATATTTTGATCTTACTTGTACCAGTGTAACTCCATTGACATCAATGGAATGACTCCATTTTTTTTTTAATTGAGATGCTCCGATACTATATTACAGGGGGCCTGTAATGGGCTGTGCATTCCACACAGGCCCTGAAAGGGTTGATGTGGACCTGAAAGGGTTGATGTGGGCCTGAAAAGCCAGTTATGATATCTAGCTGCCCTTGAAGGGAGAGCAAGGCTTAACTGAACATGAAGCCCAGCTGGGCAGGGGCAGGCTGGTTGGTATAAAGCCAGGAAGCTGTGAGTTCAAGGAGGCTACAGGGAGAGAGTCTGTAGTGAGTCTCTAGGTGCAGAGAGGTGGGGAGGAGAAAACCCAAGAGATAGAATAAGCTTTGGGATCATAGCCCTGGAAGAAGGGTCAACCCCAGAGGAACAGTGGAGAAAAACAGCCTGAGGGCTGAGCAGGAAGAAGCCCAGGGAAATAGCAGCAAGCAGTAGGACTGAGCAAACAGTGGCTGCTTGTTACAGGGTCCCTGGGTTGGAACCCACTATAAAAGCAGGGCCGCCCAGAGGGGGGGGGCAAGTAGGGCAATTTGCCCCAGGCCCTGGGCCCCGCAGGGGCCCCCATGAGAGTTTTTTGGGGCCCCTGGAGCGGGGTCCTTCACTCACTCCAGGGGGCCCCGGAAATCTCTCGCGGGGCCTGGGCCCCCGGAGCTTCTTCCGCTCCAGGTCTTCGGCAGCAGTTTGGCGGCGGGGGGTCCTTCCGCCCCGGGACCCGCCGCCAAAGTGCCGGGTCTTCGGCGGCAATTCGGTGGTGGGGTCCCCCTGCCGCCGAAGACCCCAGGCCCCCTGAATCCTCTGGGCGGCCCTGTGTAAAAGGCAGGCCTGGGTTCCCCTTTCAGCCACTGGGAAGTAGCACAGGATTGTGAGAAACACTGGTCTGGCAGGACTTTGTAGTCTGCCCTGCTTTCTGGGGTATCCCAGTGACCTGGGGGGAGGGGAGACGACCCTGGGGTGAGCAAATGACAGAAGTGGGAGCCAGACCAGATGAGAGCTGATTCCCCAGACACAGCTACAAGGAGATGCCCCCAACTGTCAGTGAATCCTGTGACAGGGTCATATAAGAATCTTAGATGGATAGCATTACACTGGGTAACTGAGATTAGAATTGGCCCTTGACACTTAGTATTTCATAGTGTGGTTGATTTTTACCAGGGTGCATGTTCCTTAAATGACAGTGCAGTTTTTATTTTAATTTCACTGCACATCTGAGCATCACAGCATGTTTTTGAAATGCTGGTTCCAAACACTGTAATTTAGAAGGGTAAAAAGATCCTGCTTTTTTCAGTTGTCTTAGATTCAGTTTCATTATAGATTTTTTTAAAGATACTTATTTAAAAAGACTTCACTTTATCTAGTGCCATTTGCTT